GTGAGGTACCGGTTGTTTCCGGGCCCGCGGCGCTCGTTGTGGCTGGTGTGGCTGCCGTGGATGACGTGCCACTTCGCGTGCGCGCACGCTGCGAGGGCGATTAAGAGCGGATGCCACCCCATAAAAAAAAACTACAGGAGCTGGTGGGAGCCTGAGCACTACGGCCGGAAGTTAAATAAAAATATCTTGAAGCAATTAATTTGTTTGAGGAGTTAAATGACGATTTCGTAGCAAATCGTGAAAGATTTACCAAAACTCTCTCTCTCCAGCCAGCAAATCGAGCGGATTTGCTCGCCGCCCGGGCACGAAAGACAAATTGTCTTACGCGCGTTGGTCGCCCGCGCACCACGCCCGTGTCAGCCCGGAGGCTCGTAGGGGCGCATCTGCTGACCCCAGACGACATCGCTTGCCCGAAGGGCCTCCTGGGACCAGCCGAGAGTGGGATGACGCCTCGTGAGGCCCGCCGCGCCGGCGGCGTCGGGCCGAAGCCGGCGCCGGTCGTCTCAGCGCCGCCGAGAGGTGGTCCCAACCGACTGGGAAGGTCTCCATCCGCTGCCGTGGTGGCGCGAGATCGGCGCGACACTCGCCGTGCGGTGGCACCGGCGCAAAATGCCCACGGCCACCGTCGGGACGAAACGCCGCCGGCAGCTCGTCCCGGTGGACTCGGCGATTTCGGGCTCCCCCGAGGAACCCGCCGCCTTGGACGCGACGGGGTCGATGACGAACGATCTCCGCTGCTGCGATGGCTCGAAAACCATCTTAGAGGGGTCGCGAGGGGGCAGCGCGTCCTTCCCACCCACTCTACCTCCCCGTTCCAGTCGCCACGCGGTCGTATGAGCGTCGCGTCTTCGCATATGCCTCACCCTCGTCCATGCGGACCTCGAAGTCACTGGGATCGTTGCACAGTTCCGCGTTCCGGCGGCGCTGCAGGGCCATGAGCACCGCTCAAATGATCATACTCGCGCGGAGCGCGCGCTTCGGACGTTGCATATCCGGGCGTCGCGGAGCGCTGGGGCGACGTCGACGTCAAAGACCCCGCGACGCGCCGATGGTTGAACCGCCTCTACAACGCGGCCATCGACGAGTCGGTCAAGGAGGGCACGCCGGTCTGGTTTGACGGCCTGGAGGACGCCGCGCTCGAGGCCGCGCGCGTCCAGTACATCCAGGAGGACCTGGACTGGCGCCACTACGACAAGTTCGAGGAGTGCTTTGAGGGGTTCTGTTGCGAGTTCGACCTCGAGCGCACCAAGGAGCGGCGTGCATGGGTGAAGGGCATCGCGTGCGCCCACCTCAAGCGCGGCCAGGAGGCCGAGAAGGGCGACGGGGTCGTCGCGGACGAGCGCGATGCCGCGGGGTCGCCGCGCGGCGAGCCCCAGGTCGCCGTGCGCCACGTCGCCGGCGTCGCCGACGTCGACACGGCGTCGACGCCGACGCGCGGCGTCGTGCCGACGTCGCAGGGCGAGGGCGAGGCCACCGCGGAGGACCGCGAGGCCGTGCAGGCGACGGGCGTCGTCGACGCGCGCCAGCCCCAGGACCTCGTGCGCGACGGCGCCGACGCCCGCGGCGCCGCCATGGCGTCGCCGCCGACGCGCGACATCGTGCCGACGGCGCACGACGGCGAGGAGGACGCCCCGGAGGTCCGCGAGGACCCGGAACCGGCGGTCGCGGAACTTTTTGCGGACTTAAGCGTCGACCTCAAGCTCGAGTGCCAGAAGCCGTGCCCCAAGCAGGCCGGCTCGAAGTCGGCGCAGCGCTACGAGGGCTACATGCACGCGACGACCGTCGGCGAGTACAAGGCCTTCGGCGGGTCCGCCGCGGACCTCAGGCACGACATCCGCAAAGAGTTCGTCAAGGTCGTCCTGCCGGCCGGCGTGGCGGCCCCGGCACGAGCCGCCGTCGTCGAGGACCGTGCCGCCGTCGCGGACCTCGTGCTCCTGAACGACGAGGCCCTGGCGCCAGCGTCGCGCTCGACGTCGACGGACTACTACCACGTCCTGCGCAAGATCACGCAGGAGGTCGGCATCAAGAAGCTGCGCGACGCCAAGGCGCACGGCGGCGAGCTGAAGCGCGTCGTCGTGCTCCTCCACTCGTGCGAGACCCTCGAGCAGTTCCGCGCGCTCGCGAAGCTTTTCACGAGCGCGCTGCGCGATCTCTTATTAGCTTGAGGTTTAGAGAGAGATACCCCAAACTAGCAACACGGAGCACGGCGGGGTACGCCGGGCCTACGCTGAGCGCCAAGCGTACGCTCGGCGTACGCCGGTCGGCGTACGCCTGGGATACGCCTGCTGCCCGGCGTGCGCCGAGAGTGCGCTGACTCGGGAGTACGCCTGGCGTGCTCCAGGCCGACGTGTACTCCAGGTGTAACCTTGGTCTTAGTCGAATCCGGGCGTACGCCGTCTGGTGTGCGCCGGGAGTACGCCGTGTCCTGGCGCGCATTCGGCGTGCGCCGGGCGGCGTGCGCCGGGCGTACCATCCTCGTCGGGTTGGGCTCGGCGCGCGCTCGGTCGCGGAGGCGCCGGGCCGGCGCCGCGGCGCGGAGGCGCCGCGCGCGGTTCACTGCGTCAGCTGGACGAGTGTCCGGGATTTTGCGGGGGGGGGGGGGGGGGGGGGGGGGG